AGGGTCTATACGTATGTGGGTTTGGGTCTGTTTTGGGTTGTCTGTGATGATTCTTGAGACAAATACGGGTATGTATGGAAAGTAGTATTGGGCCTATACTACTAGAAGAACTGGACTCGTACGCGTAGCAAGAAAGTCACAAGCCCAAGGGTTTAGCCTTTCGTAATGCGTTGAGAGGATTTAAATTGTAGGATTTTGATATCTTTTGGTTTATTTTCAGTATGGTGCTTACGAGAGGATATGGATCTAGTTCGGGAGTTGGCGGCTTGGATAGGTCGGGTTTGACGGACGATCAGTTGTGGGAGCTGATTGTTGCAGAGGTGGCTAGTGTTGTTTGGGGTGCCACCCCAGATTTTTTTGGGTCTATCAAGACCAACATGATCAAGTTGTTTGATGAGCGGCACGTCGCGGTGTCTAAGGTTGCTGTTGTTGTAGCCACGGTGGTTGTGGCTGCGGCTGCAACTGGTGTTAAGGTGAGGGGCTCGTTTCAGTATCGGGACTTCAACAACACGAAGCCCTTAGAGTTTGATGGGGTCAAGAACCCGATTGTAGCCATAAGGTGGCTTTCTAATGTGGAGGATGTTTCTTCACCTACTCGTGCCCGGAGGACTGGAAGGTCAAGTGCGCCTTGAACCTTCTCTACCTTGGCATGAAAGATTGGTGGAAGTTGATGACAGGCTCCTAGACTCCAGAGCAGAGGACATCGGTGACTTGTAAGTTGATGACAGGAGTACTTTGGAAGTTGATGACAGGAGTACTTGGCCCTGAAGGAGACGAATGAGACGGTGACTAAGATCACCAAGATGTTTACAGAGAGAGCATTGTTCTGTCCTGAGTATGAAGCCTCGGAGCAGGCTCAGATGACCCGGTACTTGAGCATGCTCAAGATAGATAATCGTCAGTTTGTATCCACTCAGCGTTATGGTACTCTTCTGGAGCTTCAGGACACCGCGCAGCGGTGGGAGATAGAGATTGAGACTTAAGTTAGGGAGCAGCGACCGGCTCCTATTCAGTCACAACCTTCAGCTAAGCGGTTCAAACCCGTTGATTCGAGATCGGGAGGACATAGGGTCCACACTTATGGTAGGTGCAAGAGAGTTCATGAGGGGAAGTGCAGATCGTCGTCAACTTGCTGCAATTGCAGCAAGGAGGGGCATTATGCGAAGGATTGTCGCCAGCAGGCTTCGCAGTAGAGTACCAGGATTTGTTCCCATTGTGATCAGGTGTGCCATGTGAAGGCCCAATGCCCACATCTCGCTGCCAAACCGGTCCAGACACCTGCCCCTGCTACTTTAAGGATCATTGACGGACGTCAGGGCAGGGTGGAGCCCCCGAGGGCTCGGGGTCGCGCGTGCAGCTTACAGCAGAGGAGGCCAGGGCGACGCTAAACGTCGTTACTAGTATGTTTCCATTTATTATTCGGTCGATTTATGTTATTTATGTTTATGATTATGATTCTGATAGGTACATTCTTAGTGGATTCTTTTCCTGCTCTTGTGCTTTTTGACTCGGGTGTGAGTCGGTCATTTGTATCTCTATCCTTCAGTGGGAGCTTTGATAGGGTTCTCAGGGAGTTAGATTGTCTGTTGCGAGTTTCTATCGCCAAAGAACACGGGATTTCTGCGAGTAATATCTTCAGGGATTGCACCTTGGAGATTTTCGGGGTATCATACCTGATCGACTTGATCCTTATCCCTATGGGGGATGTTTGTGTGATTATCGGGATGGATTGCTTGAGCAGGTTTGGCGTTGTCATTGATTGTGAGGGTGTCGAGGATTTCGTTGTATATTGTGATGCATTCATTACAGGTTTGGGGGCGGTTCTTATGCAGAGGGGGCGAGTGATTGCGTATGCTTCTCGGAAGCTGAATCCGCATGAGGCACAATATCCTGTTCATGATCTGGAGTTAGGGGCAGTAGTGTTTGCCCTCAAGATTTGGAGGCATTACCTTAATGGGGTCCGGTGTACCGTCTACACGGATCACAAGAGTTTGAGGTATCTCATGGACCAGCCGAACCTGAACATGAGGAAGCGTAGTTGGCTTAACGTGGTCAAGGATTATGACTGCGAGATCCTTTACTATCCGGGTAAAACGAATGTGGTCGCGGATGCTTTGAGCCGCAATTCGGCATTGGTGCCTTCGACCCATGAGTACAGTGAAGAGACTCACTTCACAGTCTGAAAGAATAGTTGCACCGATCACTGCTCTAAAATCTATCTCTACCGATCACCTATACAATTAACAGGAACCCAAATCTCAAACTATAAATCAAATTACCGAAAATGCCCTTAGGTCAAACTTGGTTAAAATCCTGGTCAAAGTCAAATGTCAACCGGGTCAACTCAGTTAAGTACGTTGGGCGTACTCAACACGTACGTGATGCGTACTATGCCTTGACCAGAAGTCGAGGGGTTGACCATGTACACGTAGTGTACCCTTTGGTACATCCAGCGTACGCGGTTTCCATCCTCCCAATCCATTAAGAGCTTAATCATTTAAGCTATTTAGTCCAAAATCCAGATCTAACCCTCAAATGATATCCTTAACCATAAAGTTTCCAACTTTATGGTCTTACATGGCTATTAAGTCTTCAACATCCAAAAACCCTAACTTCTTAACCCATTAAGACATCCAAGACCATGCATGGAGGAAAACTAGGGACCGATGTCACATTTTTATGGTTCCTAATGACTCCATAATAGATAAAGTTGGAAACTTTATCCATTAGAATGGTCCCAACAAACAAGACCTAGACTTTATGTCTCAAAGGGACCAAAAGTGCATCTTTTTCAACTTTTATTCATTAAGTCTAAGTCTCCAACCTTCATATTTGAATCAATATGATGTTTAGATGGATAAAGTTTCCAACTTTATCGATAACAAGGTCACAAACTTTCAAGATCTAAACTCTATGCACTTAAAGTGACCAAGGTCTCATAACACCCAAAACTAGCTAGATCTAACACTTTCATCGTCAACATTCAAACTTTATACCTCCAAAAGAAAGATCAAGGTGACAAGGTCTGGAGCTACAAGCTCCAATGCAACCAACACTTCTTCAATGAGTTCCTTCTTCTCCAAGGTGCACCAAGAACACTCCAAAGACTTAAAACACCTTCTTTTTGCTCACAAGGCTCAAACTAGGGTTAGGGTTTCAAGAGAGGGTGTTGGAGAGGTGGAGGTTGAGAACGGAACGGGTTTGGGGAAGTTAAGGAGCTTAAATAGGGATCAAACCATGAAAATAGGGTTTGGGCACTGATCGCATACGCCCAGCGTACTCCTGGTACGCCCAGTGTACTAGGGATGCCCTAGTATGCCCGATGTACTCTCCGTACACCCGGTGTACGCGGCTAACCCAAAAATCGTCCTAACTTCAAGCGATCATAACTTCCTCGTTTCAACTCCGATTTCGATGATCTTTATATCCACGGAAAGGTATTGAGGAGCTCTACAACCCTATATAATTACTTTTGACTTCAAACACATCGAACTAAAATCCATAATTCATAAAAGATGTCTGAAACACTACTTTTCCCATTTTACCCTTTGACTCCAAATCACAAACCGAACTCTTGGATCACATAATCTACATGACCCACATCCAAATGGGTCTAAACCTCTCTTGAATCTGACCGAGTAAGAGACATATCAGAGAAGTTACTACCAAGTCAAAGGTCTTCTAAGTGTGATATCTTACAAAATCTAAGTACTACCAAATCAAGTCAGATTCAGCCTCTTACCTTACCGGACCTAATAAGAAGCATATCAAACAATCCTAAGTGTTAAATATCAAAATCGTATCCAAAAACAAAATACATAAACAACATGAATGTTTTTTGTAGTTCATTCTAAATTTTATACTAGTTTTAGTTATTTTTAATTTGATTGGTTCTTTCTTATAATCGCCCTTGGGCATGCTTCTATTCTTGTTGTGTTAACTTAACTGTAGTGTGGATAAAGTGTGCATGTACACACTACTAAAAAAAACACGTCTTTTCTGAGGGACTATTTCCTCATTAATTCCTAGGAAACCATTTTCCGAAGAAATACCGAGGAAAACTTTTGCATAGGAAAAACCCTCCTAGGTAACTTTTTGTGACGGGTTTCCATGGAAACTTCCGAGGAGATATCTTTTGTCGAAAGTCCTGAGGCATTTCCAAGGCTATATTTTTCCGAGAAGTTTCCTAGAATATATATTTATGAGGAATTTCTTAGGAAATGTTTTTCCGGAGAATTTCCTAGGAAACATATTTTCGAGAAATTTCTCAATACCATACCTTTTTGATAGTTTTGGTGACACTTTGGTGACAGAAGGCTCCTAGGAAATGTGCAGCTTAAAAAAATTAAAAAGGTTAAAAAAAATGTTGTATGAACAAAGAAAAAAAAATGCAGTACGAATAAAGATAACAAAAAAATGTTGTATGCATAGAAAAATTTTCTTTATCCATATGAAATTGTGACGTGTGTCATATTTGAATAAGATTAATAATATTTTAATATATTTGTCATCATTTCAAATGGATAGAAAAGTAGGAAGATATTTAATTTCTCTAAATAAAACGACTTATATATAACATATAATATATACTCACCATAATTAACGGATAAAAAGATCAAAGACGGCTTAAAACTCCAACATATAAATTCAAATAAAATGTGATTTCCATTTCCTTGCTTCTAAAAGGAAATGATGAAAGCAAATAGACAGAGTCACGATCGCTTTAAAAAGCAAGAATTATCATATCTATGATTTCAACATAAAGCAACCATTCCATTATCAAAGCTATGATTTCAACATACAACACGCAGTGTCAGCTTTTTCAGATTTCAACTGGCAGCAAACATTATTTGAGGAATAGGGTCCTCAATGTCATGGTCAAAGTTGATAAGGAATTTGTGGATGACATTCATTTCACTATTTGTGCATGTCAAGTACATTAACATGCAAGAACTAAAGATAAATTTAAACGCCAACAATTGCTCTTCCAATTTCCAAAAATGAACTCTCTAATTGCTTTCCTCTTTTCTTATAGTATCGGTATATTTCTGGTTACCACCACCATCTCTGCTTCCGGTGGTGGTAATGAGACCGATTACAAGGCGTTGTTGAAGTTCAAGTCGATGATCACCCATGATCCAAATGAAGCTCTAAGCTCATGGAACGCTTCCTTCCATTTTTGTGATTGGAGCGGTGTTATATGTGGGAAGAAGCACAGAAGAGTCATTGGTCTAGTACTGATCTCACAAGGCCTACAAGGCTCCTTGTCTCCTCATGTAGGGAACCTAAGCTTCCTTCGCATGTTTTCTCTCACCAACAACAGCTTTCAAGGAACCATCCCTCATGAACTGGGTCGTCTATTCAGGCTTCGTTTCCTCTATCTTCGCTTTAACAAATTCAACGGAGTCATTCCAACTAACTTGTCTGGGTGTTCTGATATGGAAAGGCTTCGCCTTCATCACAACAAGCTAGCTGGAAGCATACCCAAAGAGATCAGTTTTCTCTCCAAACTTATTTTGTTTAGAGTTTATGATAATAAGTTAACAGGTGGAATCCCAGCTTTCTTGGGGAATATAACATCAATGATATCCTTCTCTGCTTCCGGAAATCCGTTGGGTGGGAGCATTCCAGACACCTTAGGAAATTGGAAAAGCTTAACAGTACTTCAGCTTGGTGCTTGTAACTTGTCTGGAACCATCCCTCATTCCATTTTTAACCTCTCACTCCTAACTTATTTTTCCTTGGGTGAGAATCAACTTACTGGTAGTCTTCCCTCAGCCATAGGTGCAATGCTCCCGAATCTTCAGTTCCTCCAATTGCGGGATAACAGACTGACCGGACCTCTTCCACCCTCGATATCTAATTCTTCAAAATTACAACTTCTTGAAGTGAATAACAACAATTTTAGGGGAAAGTTGACAATTGATTTTGCAAAACTGAAAGACATATATTTCTTAAACTTTGGTAATAACGTCTACAGATTCAAAGAGGCTGATGATATGAAGTTTATTGATACTATGAAAAATTGCAGCAAACTAAAGGTTTTGCAGCTTTATAATTGCAAGTTTCAAGGAGTGCTACCCACATCAATCGGTAATCTTTCTGATCAACTCAGCCTTCTAAATTTAGGAAGAAATGATATATATGGAAACCTCCCTTCAAGTATAGGTAATCTGGTTGGCTTGACCAGTTTGGTTTTAGCAGATAACCAATTCACAGGAAAAATCCCCTCCACCATTGGTCAGCTTCAAAAGCTACAAGTTGCTGTACTATCTAAAAACCAATTTTCAGGGCCGATTCCAGACGCTATCGGGAACATATCTTTATTGTCTAAGCTTTGGTTATCTTTCAACAGACTGGAATGGCATATTCCATCAAGCATGGGAAATTGTCATCATCTATTGGATTTGCTCCTTAACAACAATCAACTCAGCGGCACAATACCTAAACAACTTCTCCAACTTTCATCTTTGACCATAAGATTAGATCTTTCTCAAAACAATCTGTTTGGGTCACTTCCAACAGAGGTTGGCGACCTCAAGATGTTAACTTCTCTAGATTTATCTGATAACAATTTAACAGGTCACATTCCTAGTAGCCTTGGTGGTTGCACAAGCCTTTCATTCTTATCCCTCAAAGGCAACTTATTTCAAGGCACCATACCATCCTCATTAACTTCTATGAGAGGAGTTTCAACACTTGATCTTTCTCATAATAATTTATCGGGCCAAATTCCTAGATTTTTGGAGCGATTTATCTTATTAGAATATGTAAACCTATCATTTAATGATTTTGAGGGTGAAGTACCAGTGCTATTAGTATTTGCCAATGCAAGTGCATTCTATGTTTTGGGAAACAGTAGGCTTTGTGGTGGCTTGGCTGAACTTGGGTTACCCAAATGCAAGGAGATCACACAGAAACATAAAAAAAGGGTTCTTGAGTTGGTAATAGTCATTCTAATTGTATCCACACTTTTTACTGTATTGTGTTTAGTGTATGTTTGGTGTAAGAAAAGGAAGTGCCAACCTTCTCGATCACCATCAAGGGCCGAACGATTCATAAAAGTATCATACGGTCAACTTCTGAAAGCTACCAACGGCTTCTCCAAAGCCAATTTGATTGGTGAGGGTGGGTTCAGCTCTGTATACAAAGGAATATTTGATCATGGTCATAGATTTATTGCGATCAAAGTTCTTCATCTTCAAAATCGAGGTGCTCACAAAAGCTTTATAGCGGAGTGTGAAGCATGGCGGAGTATTCGACACCGGAATCTATTGAAGATAATAACTTCATGTTCAAGTGTTGACTTTCAAGGCAATGACTTCAAAGCTTTGGTATATGAGTTCATGTCCAACGGGAGTTTACACGATTGGTTGCATTCAAGTGCATCTACATCCACACTAAACCTTCTCCAAAGAATTACCATCCTCCTTGATGCCGCATCTGCACTTGATTATCTTCACAATCATTGCCTGCCAACCATCATTCACTGTGACCTGAAGCCTAGCAACATTCTGCTGGATGATGACATGGTGGCCCATGTTGGAGACTTTGGTTTAGCTAGATTTCTTGGAACAAATTCAAACCAAAACAGCACAAGTGGCATTAGAGGAACGATTGGGTACACACCTCCAGGTAAAGTCCATTTATTCCCACTTGCTCATATTTATTTGTAGTATATAATAACCTTTTCCTAAAGTAAATGCTTATAAGTTGCAGAGTATGGTGTTGGGAGCGAGATGACAAGTAGTGGGGATGTCTATAGTTTTGGAATACTATTGTTGGAGGTGATGACAGGGAAAAGGCCGACTGATGACATCTTTAATGAAGGCCTTAGCCTTCATAAATTTGCACAAATGGCATTGCCAGACTATGTAAATGATGTTATTGATGATGACCTTCTAAAATTTCTTCAAGATGATGCTATTGCTACACAATCTACGTTAGAATATGCAAAGAAAATAAAAGAATGCTTGTCTTCAACAGTCAAGCTTGGAGTATCATGCTCCATGGAGTCCCCACCACAAAGGACAAATATCAAAAATGTTGTCCATGAGTTGCAACGAATTCTGGATATGCTTCAATAAACTTGAGGTGCCATGTTAATCAATATTTTGGTTATTAAGAGTATAAAGTGATGTCAGACCTCCTTGACAAATATTAGATTTTATGATACCTAATTGGTTCACAATTTTCCATGTACTTCTCATTTGATCTTATTCAATTTTTTATCATTCTCTCAATTGTGTCTGAGAAAACCTTGATCCATGTTCATCACCATCTATGCAAAAAAGCCTTGTACATTTAGACGAAATGATTAACATGCAAGCATTTGATCAAGTAAGTAGTCATATATAACTTGAGATACATTTTTAATACATTGAATTTCATTATAGAAAATTATAAACGAGGAACCCTAAATACACCTAGACACATAGTAATACCCGTTTGTTGTAAAACCGGATAAATTTGAAAAGTTCCCTTTTGCAGAAATGAGTAATCTGAAGGAAACAGTTCATTTTTCCTCTGTCTCTGCATATCGAATCTTCAAATGAAACAAAGCTAAGCAAATGGTAATCGACAGTCTTAGGTGTTGTTCCATATTAAGTTAATGGACTTAATGTACATAGAACTTAATCCGGTAAGTTATATATGGGTACATTGAAAGTTATGTACCAATTGTACAGGAAAAAGACGAAAATATTTAGAAATTTGCTTACCATGTATTGCATTCATGTTTCCTCCATCAACTGTGTTTCATGGACAATTCACTATCTTTATCTTCCCTTTTAACTTCAATTGATCCATCTTTCTTGGTTCTTGACACGGTTAGGTGTGGAAGATTTCCCTCAAAATATTGAAGTAATGGAGTATCCACATCTCTAATCATTCTGATTGCAGCTAGCATGCTGGGGATCAACTGAATAAAAGCACGAAGCAATATTTCTATCAAACTAATGAAATATTGAAGCAAACTATATTGTTATTCATAAGATTAGTATACAAAGGTCCAGGATTTGAATAGACCTTACACTACACGTCTACAAGTAGCAAGTTTGTATTCATCTACTCGGTATAGGGTTTGGAGATCATAACAGTAGAAGCTTTATGTTTTTATAAAACAAATTAACATAGTGTCCCAAAAATACTCAAGCTACTGTCTTTATTGATTCTAGTACAAGGCATATAGCTACATGTCAAGTTCATATGTTAACGATTACAAATTTTGACTCTAAAAGTCAAAATACAGTATCTAACCTTGGAATGGCCTCTGGTGCTCAGTAATTAGAGTGTCTGCTAGATCCAACAATAAGAAAAATCGACAAAATGATACTTTTGGCAATTTAATCTAAGCCAACTTCACTGTAGAAGACGTAAATGTTAGGTGAGTATAAACAAAATATAAGACAAGGCGATTACTAGGGTTGTTCATCGGTGGATATCCAAAGTTTTTTATACAACCGATCCGATCCAATCATCCAATCAATATTTTGATATTGGATATTGCCAACCGACCCATTTCAGTTACCTATGCCCAATTGAACCGATCTAATAGGATATTGGATTGATTCGGTACTTCGGTTTCAACATTGGACATCCAATACAATAACAATTGATGATATTAAAGAACAGAGTAACATATACAGAAAGCTTATCAGTAATCCCTATTAGCCCCTAATAAAGAACTGAGTAACATATGAATAGAGCTTATGCTCAGGACCATATAAGGTTGACTAATTTTATTTGTAGTATGTAGGTTTTTTCTATTTTTGACTTCAACTATCAATTTAGGAATTGAGATATCCAATTCCAATCTTGATCTAATTAATTGGATGTTTTTTGTAATATCTCGTTGGCAGTATTATTCTTTAATTTGTAGTTACTTATTTACTACTAGGTGTGAGACCTGTGTATTACACGGGTTTATTAAAAATAAAAAATTAATATGAATATATAAACATTAAATATTTTATAAAATAATGTTTTTCCATAACTAAATGTAATATTTTGGTGCATTTATGAAAAAAATCAAATCCTTTGGAGCATTTATGACAATTTATTATCAAATTAATAGATTGATAACATATATATATATATATATATATATATATATATATATATATATATATATATATATAACGCATTTGAATTTTTTGGAAATTTATTTTAAGAAAATTGAAATCCCTAAAAAATGACAAGTGGAAAATAACTATTTTAAAAATCTTAGAAAATGACATTTGTCAAAATAAATGAGAAGATGACAAGTGGCAAAAGTATTTTCATTTATTAGGTAGGATTGTCCTAACAGTAACTGTTGAATGGGTGACGGATTGGCGGTATTATGCTTTAATTACTTGTAGTTTGTTGCCATATTAACTTGGTTAATGGTTGATTGGTTGTATCGCTATTTGTTTTGATTTGATTTAGTCCTTGAAGTATTAATGAGAATACTGTTTAGTATCCAATTTTGCATATTTTTGTGACTGCTGTTATGATGTAGTTTACATAAGAAATTAAGAATTATCACACTTCGTTAGAGACATCATGGAGTACTGTTTTTTTTTCTTTAGAGCTCACTTACATAACATTCTCACCATAATTAACGGATCAAAAAGATCAAAAATGGCTAAAAATCTCAACATATATATTCAAACAAAATGTGATTTCCATTTCCTTGCTTTTAAAAGGAAATGAAAGCAAATAGACAGAGTCATCACTTTAAAAAGCAAGCATTATCATATCTATGATTTCAACATAAAGCAAGCATTATCATAGGTATGATTCCAACATAAAACAATCACAGGTATGATTCCAACATAAAATAAGCAGTGTCATAGCTTTTTTGAGATTTCAACTGGAAGCAAGCATTATCATAGATTTTCAGATTTCAAAAGGCAAGCATTATTTGACGATTAGGGTCCTCAATGTCATGGTAAAGGTGAGAAGGAATTTGTGGATGACATTTATTTCACTATTTGCATGTCACGTACATTAACATGCAAGAAGTGAATATAAATTTAAACGACAACTAATTTCTCTTCCAAATTCCAAAATGAACTCTCTAATTGCTTTCCTCTTTTCTAATTTTGTTATATTTCTGATTTTCGCCACCATTGCTGCTTTTGATGGTGGTAACGAGACCGATTATCAGGCGTTGTTGAAGTTCAAGTCAATGATCACAAACGAAGGTCTAAGCTCATGGAACGCTTCCTTTCATTTCTGTGATTGGAGTGGTGTTATATGTGGGAAGCGCCACAGAAGAGTCACTGCTCTACTACTAAGGTCACAAGGCCTAGAAGGCTCCTTGTCTCCTCATGTTGGGAACCTCAGCTTCCTTCGTCTGATTTCTCTCACGAACAACAGCTTTCAAGGAACCATCCCTCATGAACTCGGTCGTCTCTCCAGGCTATGTTTCCTCTATCTTGGCTCTAACAAATTCAACGGGGTCATTCCAACTAACCTGTCCCATTGTTCTAACCTTGAAGATCTTAGACTTAATAATAACAACCTAGTTGGAAGCATACCTAAAGGGATCGGTTTCCTCTCCAAACTTACTTATCTTTTACTTGAGTACAATAAGTTAACCGGTGGAATACCGCCTGGCTTGGGAAATATAACATCAATCAAATTGTTCAATGCTGCAACCAATCCATTGGGTGGGAACATTCCAGACACCTTAGGCCATTGGAAAAGCTTAACAGAACTTTACCTTGGTGCTTGTAACTTAAATGGAACCATCCCTCATTCCATTTTTAACCTCTCACTCCTAACTGAACTTTCCTTTCATGATAATCAGCTTACCGGTAGTCTTCCCTCGGCCTTAGGTGAAATGCTCCCTCATCTTCGGTACTTTCAGTTACAGGATAACCACCTGACCGGACCTCTTCCACCATCGATATCTAATTGTTCTAAATTAGAATTTCTTGAAGTGCGTGGCAACAGTTTTAGTGGGAAGTTGAGAATCGACTTTTCAAAACTAAAAGATATCTATCAGATAAACATTGGTGATAACACCTACGGATTCGGAGAAGCTGATGATATGAAGTTTATTGATACTTTGAGAAATTGCAGTAGATTAAAGCGTTTAGATCTTCGTAATTGCAAGTTTAAAGGAGTGCTGCCCACCTCAATCGGTAATCTTTCTGATAACCTCAGTTTTTTTATTATACAAGAAAATCAATTTTATGGAAACCTCCCTTCAAGTATAGGTAATCTAGTCGGCCTGACCGGTTTAGGTTTATCAAGAAACCGATTCACAGGAAAAATCCCCTCTGCCATTGGTCAGCTTCAAATGCTACAAATAGCTCATCTAGATGATAACCAATTGTCAGGGCCAATTCCAGATGCCATCGGGAACTTATCATTGTTGATTACACTCACTATAAGCTCCAATAGATTGGAAGGGCATATTCCGTCAAGCCTGGGAAATTGTCATTGTCTATTGGAGTTGCGCCTTTATGAGAATAAACTCAGCGGTGGAATACCTAGACAACTTCTTCAACTTTCATCCCTAACCATAGCATTAGATCTCTCTCAAAACAACCTGTCCGGGTCACTTCCAACTGAGGCTGGCCAACTCAAGATGTTGACTTATCTAGATCTGTCTAATAATAATTTATCAGGTGACATTCCAAGTAGCCTTGGTGGTTGCACTAGCCTTTCATTCTTATACCTCAAAGGGAACTTATTTCAAAGCACCATACCACTCTCATTAACTTCTATGAGAGGAGTTGCGACACTTGATCTTTCTCATAATAATTTATCGGGCCAAATTCCTGGATTTTTGGAACGATTTATCTTACTAGAATATCTAGACCTATCCTTTAATGATTTTGAGGGGCAAGTACCAATGCTAGGTGTCTTTGCCAATGCAAGTGCATTCTCAATTTTGGGGAATAGTAAGCTTTGTGGTGGCTTGGCTGAACTTAGGTTGCCCAAATGCAAGGAGACACATGATAAACTTAAAAAAAGGTTTCCTTTGTTCATAATAGTCATTGTGATTGCAGCCACACTTTTCACCATAATATGTTTTGTATATGTCTGGTGTAAGAAAAGCAAGGGTCAACCCTCCGAATCATCAACACACAAACGATTCATGAGAGTATCATATAGTCAACTTCTCAAAGCTACCAACGGCTTCTCCAAAGCCAATTTGATTGGCAAGGGTGGTTTCAGCTCTGTTTATAAAGGAATACTTGATCATGGTGATGGATTTGTTGCAGTCAAAGTTCTTCATCTTCAAAACAGAGGTGCTCACAAAAGCTTTATAGCAGAGTGTGAAGTGTGGCGGAGTATTCGACACCGGAATCTGTTGAAGATAATAACTTCATGTTCAAGTGTCGACTATCAAGGCAATGACTTCAAAGCTTTGGTATACGAGTTCATGCCCAATGGGAGTTTACATGATTGGTTGCATTCAAGTTCAAGTACATCCAGGCTAAACCTTCTTCAAAGAATAAAAATCCTCCTTGATGTTGCATCTGCACTTGATTATCTTCACAATCATTGCCTGCCAACCATCGTTCACTGTGACCTGAAGCCTAGCAATATTCTACTCGATGATGATATGGTGGCCCATGTTGGAGACTTTGGTTTAGCTCGATTTCTTGGAGCAAATTCAAACCAAAACAGCACAAGTGGCATTAGAGGAACGATTGGGTACACACCTCCGGGTAAAGTTAATTTATTCCCATGTGTCTGTATATTTATTTAAATATTGCTATTTCCTAAAGTAATTGCTTATAAGCTGCAGAGTATGGTGTGGGGAGTGAGATGACAAGCAGTGGAGATGTCTACAGTTTTGGAATACTATTATTGGAGGTGATGACAGGGAAGCGGCCAACAGACAACATCTTTAATGAAGGCCTCAGCCTTCATAAATTTGCAGACATGGCCTTGCCAGACCATGTGACCGATGTTATTGATGATGACCTTCTAAAATTTCTTCAAGAGGATGTTAATGGTACACAATCTACGTTAGCATATGAAAAGAAAATAAAGGAATGCTTGTCTTCAACTATCAAGCTTGGAGTATCATGCTCCATGGATTCCCCACCACAAAGGATGAATATTGAAAATGTTGTCCATGAGTTGCAACAAATTCTGGATATGCTTAAATAAATTTGAGGTGCTATGTCAGTCAATATTCTGGTTGTTAAGAGTACCAAGTGATGTCAGACCTTGACAAATATTAGATTTTATGATATCTAATTCTTTCACAATTTTTGCATGTACTTGTCATTTGAGCATATTAAATTTTCCATCATTCTCTTAATTTTGTCTATGCAACTTTCTAAACGAAAAAACCTTAATTCATGTTACATCATCTATGCAAAAAAGCCATGTACATTTAGACGAAAATCATGAAATGGTCAACAAGCAGCTGATCGAGTAAGTAGTCATATGATTTTGAGATACAGTTTTAATACAATGAATTGCATTAAAGAAATTTTTAAACGGGGAACCCTAAAAACACCTACACACAAAGTAATACCTGTTCGTAGTAGAAGTGGGTAAATTTGAAAAGTTCCCTTTTGCAAAAATGAGCAATTTGAAGGAAACAGATCATTCTTCCTCTATCTCTACATATCGAATCATCAAATGAAACAAAACTAAGCAAATTAAGTTGTTTCATTTTACTTAATGGACTTAATTAATGGGTATATATATGTGGGTGTTGTCTTGTTACTTAATACAGAAAGAACGACTTAATAGAGAAAGATGAAGGAAAAATATTAATCAAAGATAAGCATTCAAGAAATTTTCTTAGCGGTGATTTGGTTGAAAGAAACATTTTCACAAACAGGTGGACTACAACAGACTACAAGAAAATTTCAATTTAGCTACGGAAAAATTCCATAGCAAAAAGCTAAAATTTCGTAGCTAAAGCTGAATAACTACGGAATTTGCTACGGAAATTTTCACTTAAACTCTGTTGCTTTTTTCCTTGTAGCAAAATGTTTAGCTACAGAATTATAATTCCGTAGCGGTTTTGCTATGACAATTTCTACGGTATCTATTTTGTTGCAAATTGAGTTCCGTAGCAAATTTCGTAACAATGTTTCCGTAGCAAATTTCATAGCAATTTTTCCGTAACCAATTCCGTAGCAATGTTTCCGTAGCAAATTCCATAGCAATTTTTCCGTAACCAATTCTGTAGCAATGTTTCCGTAGCAAATTACATAGCGATATTTCCGTAACCAATTCTGTAGCAATGTTTCCGTAGCTAATTCCATAGCAATTTTTCCGTAACCAATTTCGTAGCAAATTCTGTATTTTTCTGTAGCATATTCCGTAGTAATTTTTCCGTAACAGATTCCGTAGTAATTTTTTCGTAACAGATTCCGTAGTAATTTTTCTGTAACAAATTTCGTAGTATTTTTTTCGTAAGAAATTTCATAGCAACTTTTTCATAGCAAATTCCGTAGTAATTTTTCAATAGTAATTTTTCCATAGCAAATTTCGTAACAACTTTTCTGTAGTCAATTCCATAACAATCGTTCCATACCATTTTTCTATAAAATTAGGCTATTCAATTTGCTTGTTATATCAATTTACAAAAATACGATTAATATAAAACCAAAAGTAACAAAGTATTTCTATAGAAACTAAAAGAAATATCCAATACATCAAAAGATACATATTTCAAAATCAAAAATCGCTACAAATTAAACATAAAACATTATTCGATACATAATATTCTGTCATTGATTAATAAAAGTTTTGACATGTTCACTCAATGTGTTAATGACATTCATTGCTTGTGCAAGTTGTTCAAACTTTGCTTGAACATCCACATTTTTCAGCTGAAACTCCACATTCTTTTTTTGAGCATCCTCATATTTTTGCTGAACATCCTCATATTTTTGTTGAATATCATCATATTGTTCCCGTTGCGTCTCAACTAACTTCTTCAAATTCTCAATCTCGACTTTTGTCTCGGCATAATTATCCTCATATTGTTCGCGATGCGTTTCAGAAGATCCTTTACTAGAACGAATGTGCTTGCCATATCAATTTCCTCTCCTATCACTTCCAAGTGATCACATCGTTCCATAAAATCATCCTACAATTTTATAATTGTGTTGAGATAAAACTTATACAAAAAAAATTTAAAATAAAACTTACATGAAATTATTCAAAATAAAACTTACATGAAATTATTCAAAATAAAACTTACATTAATTTTTTTAGCTTTGTCAACTAAAAAAGTCACTCCATCGTGATTCTTAGTGTGTGTATACAAGAATAGTTCATGGTGTGTCGGATCATGTCATGTCCCCAAAGCTTCTTCTACATATATACAAAAAAAATCAATATTAAAGTAGATTGCTATTTTTACATTTAGGCATAGACATTTAAAAATGAAAGAATAGCAACTTACTTTTAGTCTAAACCCTTTTAAAAATCAAAATGGAACTAGATTGTTATTTTTTGCATTTAGGCTCTACCCTTTAAAAATAAAATATAAAATACCAAAAGATGATAATGTGGTACGGGATGATGATGACGACAATGTTGGTGTAGATAATGGGGCAGATATATTACCAACATATTTTGCATCATCGGTACGTTTGTTTATGAAACGTACATTTGTATGTTGCTTTCGTTTCAATAAAAATTGTGACATCTTTCCTGAAATTTTAAAAACTTAGGAAGTTAATCTGTTGGTTCACAAATATTATAGAAATATCTTACTAAAAATTTAAGCATACTACGTTTTACTTTAAAATACCAATTTACTTTTGTTTGCTTATTTTTTTTAACATCCTACTTTTTACTTTGAAAAATACAAAAACTAAAAGTATAATGCAATTACTTTAATGAAAGTAGATTGCTATTTTTTGCATTTAGACTTATCCCTTTAAAAATGAAAAAATAACAACTTACAATGTCATAGTAAGTATAAAAGATAAAGCACAAAGCTTAAACATGATGGTTTTGTTATCACCAGGATTGGATTGGATTGGATTGGATTGGATTGGAGTGGAGTGGAGTGGATTGGAACGTGGAACAAAGAAAAAAAATAAACTTTATCGCAACAAAAGAAATACAAAGAAAAAGTTGAAACAGTTCATGCCTTTAATTAATATTACATACATAGTCTCTTTCAAAAAAAAATATTGCATACATAAAGACTATTTGAGTATGATAAATGACTGTTTTACCCTTCACCAACTTAGCACATTATTACATAGATCAAAGGAATGGTAGGAATGGAAAAAGGGTTGTCTAGATAGTATATAGGGTACTTTACTCGCTTAACCCATTAAGACATTCCATCCATCAAGTAAATATTGTTGTATACATAAAGACTTTTTGAATATGATAAATGACCATTGTGCCCGTTGCTAACTTTACCCATCAAGATTCAAGACCAATCAAGACATTATAATATTGTGAGAAAGAAGGAAATAAAATCTTGAAAATGAAGGACTTTGGAGAAAAAAGACCAAAAGGGTATCAGGAAGCATTAATTTCTTGAAGAAATATGTACAAGTGTTAAAACACCCAGAATGAAAATTGCTTTGTGCATGGTGTGATTGCTATAATCTGGTAGATTATTTACAGGAGGGTGCTATAAGAAGCAAATATTTGAAAGCATATTGTCATTTAAATATCCGAAATATCAGATATATGAAGATAGGATAGGATGTCATTATAGATTTTGCAAAGTAGAATCATGTAGTAGAATGAAATGAGAGTAGTATGCATTAATAAACAAACATATGAAGGTAGTACATTGCTATTTTAATCATCCATGTGAAAAAAATAATATCATATTTTGATTGGTAATGAATGATATGATTATGGTATTGAATTGAATTGAATGGCTGGTGTTTTATGAGATTGTTGTGATGGAACCAAGTGATGTGCAATTTGGGTTGGATCTGCTTAAAGGAATCAAGGAAGAGATTGGGATTCGGGCATCAAGGAAAAGCCTTGATTTTCTTCTTAGTGTTCGTGTCAATGCCAAAGATCCCGACCGTTCTTTTTCTGTTTGGAAAGAATATCAGACGGCTGGTCTTAACTTACTTAAGGTTAGCTTTACCATAAATATCAAATATACTCCCTTCCCTTTGCTTTGGATGGGACGTAAAACTGTAATTTCAATGCTAGTATGTTGTTCCTATTTTTAACCAATTAAGTCATGTATAACTCTGAATGGGAGTAGTTGACCATAATTTTTCACAATATTCGTCATTTTAAACGTGTAGAGGAAAAATAAAAAAACAAGGGAAAAATAGTTGAAAAGTTTGTGTCTTAATGTATTAATAAAAAGAAACAGCCTTTTAGTCTATTATATCGGATGATGACTCACATGTGTGTGATGTGATTAATGCATGTCAAGCAACATATGGCATATCATCTGCCCTTGTGGAGAAGAAAAAAAAACAAAAAGAAATCAAAGTAGAATGTGAAAAGCTTTACATTATATACAAGATGTTTGCATACATACAGGTGCACAACATACATACATATATTGATATGTATGTATGTATATTTAACACCTATTAGCTCAAGTTTTCAGCCTATTCTATTTGTGAAGTTTGCGCAACAATCCAATAAGGCAGATGATTGAGTTAAGCACCACTCTATAAGCTCTTGGAGTGCAAATGATTAGTACAACAAAAGGGAAAAATATGCTTATTTATTGAACTTATCTAATCTAGCGGGATCCTAAGACTATGTTGTTGGGAGTGAAGACTTTGAATTCTTTGGTCCTGGCTGAGTTTATGGCTTGTTATTTTGGTAACTCATCAGTATAGTGATTTCGTGAGTATCTATTTATAGAATGTGTTTAGGGAATTTGGAAGAGAAGAAAAATGGATAAGGTGTTTTGGAAATGAATATTTACAAAAGTAGGCTGCAAAAACATTGACTGTTGAACCAAAAGAGCTAGGGGTAAAAATATTAACAAACAAGTGGAGTTTGATATATTTTAGCCCTAATAATAAAGGTGACATAATCTACAAAGCAGAACTTGACAAATATTGATGTATAACGTTAATGCTATAATTCAATATATAACGAGAATATAAAGCCATAAAGAAACTTATTAGATCATGTCAGATTGGCAATCACTGCATCAAAATCCATAATTCGCATTAAATGCAATAAACTCGATCAATCAAATTCATCAATAAAAATTTGGATTAAACTGTCCGTATGGATTGATAGAGTTAAACATTGACTCGCATTGGATTCAATGGAGAGATCAATATCCTTCAGATCATTGGATGATAGAAAGAGAAAATGGAGCAAAAAGAAGAGAGAAGAATGTTACCTGGTAGGGACGAAGACGATCGAGAAAAATCTACCGGTTGACGGAGCAGACGGCGAATGACAAAGCAAACGAGAGTGAGAAGGAGCTCCCTATAGAGTGAAGACCGATCGATAATGGCGTAAGTGGAGATTGGGGGAAACTGAGGAATGAGGAATTAGGTCAAAATAATGAGTAAAGAGCAAAAGTCCAGCCTAGAAAATTATTCAGACGTGATGGGGAGGCTGAGCAACGGCGCAGGTTGAGAGAGGGAGAGATGCGATCGGCAACAGGTCATGAGATCGACACTTTTCTTCAGTTTGATCGGGATACCTCTGATTTGGGGAAGAAGTATATTTGGGTCATGTGATTTGACCCATTTGCCCTTAATAAGAGTACTTTTTCTCAATTTTCTGTAGTTTGAACCTTCCAATTGAATATTGCACAATAATACCTTCCAATTGAATATTTCACGTTCTTTTACCCTAGCAACATATGCCCTTTACTTGTTTTATTGGTAAACATTGGATTTAATTTTAAGTCATTATCATACTGTGTGATTTCTATTTTTTAAAATTAAAAAAAAATAGAATTACAAATATTAAAAAAAACATTAAGGGTTTTTGAAGATCTGTCTTTTAATATCAACAAATAGAAATTTCTTTTATATTGATTTTTAATGTGAAAAAATATATTTTATTCAAATTTAAAATTGATTAGAATTTATTTTAGTAGTATAAATCTTTTTAATAAATATGTCAAAGTAGCACCAAACAGAATATGCTTAGAGTTAAAAATTATAAATACAAACATCAATATCATATATATTCGAGATCACTATAATCAATTATTAGTTACTATGATACAATTATATAAGGAAGATAGATAATTCTTGATTCACATGTTTACGTAATCATATAGAAAATACTTGAGGTTATCTTTTTTTTTTTTGTGTTTGTCTTTTTTTGCTCTCAATAAAATTTTCTTTTTTAGCTCTCGATAAAACTCAACCAATTGGAATGATCAACACATTGAAAAAAAATCTATTGCATGATATTTAAATGAACATTGGTGTTTCTTGAATTTGTCCTATTTATGAATCAAATGAACATATAGCATTGTGGTTTTGATATGCAGATATCCTCATTTAATCAGATAAAAAAAAATATTAATATTGAACATTTTTCATAGATACACATTAAATTTAATATTAAAAATATATCCATTTTTAAGAAACACGTTTACATTATAAAAATGAAATTTAATAATGAAAAAACTGCATCAAATTCATAGTGAAATATTGCATCAAACGCTCATACAACCATATTTGTAGTCTCTTCAAAAAAAAAAAAAAAAACCATATTTGTATCAGATTACACCCCTATTCACATGATTCCCTTCCGGCCATTCCACCCCATTCCTTTCCAGCCATTCAACCCATGTTCACATGATTACATTCCAGTCCTATATGACTCCATTCCAACCAAACCTAATAAGACAGAAAGATATAATGAATGGGACAACATTGATATATTAAGCATTAAAAGGAAGATCAACAACATAAGCAGTATGAAGAAAACTCAAACTATTCATGTTTTTCTATTAGTTTCAATCTTGTTTTTCTTTTTAGTTATTTATCATTTGTCATGAAAACTAATAATAATAATAATATGTTGCCTTATTGGACCACTTGGCACCTGAAGATGAAAATTGAAGAAGAAACAGGTAAGCATTAGATTTAAAAGTGCTTTTTAGAGAAAATATTAGTATATAATGTAATCTTATGTATTAAAATTTACTTTGCATGTTTCTTCCAGATGTCTGTGAGTGATGGAGCCCTAACTATAGTTGCAAAAAATCAATCTGTAATGAAAGATTACACAAGTGCAAGAAAAAATACTTGACAAGAAGCTAAATAAGTATATAAAACTATTAATTCCTCCAGCCCAAAATAAATGAATGGTTTGACTTTTAGCCAAATATCTAAAATGCCCCTTGAGAAATAGAAAGACTATCTTGTAAATGCTCAAGGGTAAATAAGTAATATTGACACTAAAACCAGGCCAAAAAAAGGAAATGTTGCATTTATGTTGGGAAAACCCAAGACTTACTTGAAGTGGAGGAATGTGTCATTATAGTTAAGCTATCTCTTCCTCCCTTCGAGCTTATCTAAATTTCATAAACAGATACAATTTGTTATGCGTTAACTTGTAACAAAATTTTATAACTTTCAGAGTACATGAAATCAAATATCATTTGAAAAGTCTATTGACACCAAATGGACTAGAAGGATTATCTGGATGATCTGCACAAACCATCAAAAAGATCTTCAATAGCTTCTCAGAATTCAAATTATCAAGGTCATCAATGTTGCAGAATTTGAATTTCATCTCTGATCAGTTGGACCTCACTTCATCACTTGTTAGACATGGATCTTTCACATGTCCAGTCAAGACTCAATCAAGAATCACTAATTCCCAAAGATATCACCTTTCAGACCATTCAGACCATCTTTACCATCAAGGCCGCATAATCCCATATGGCCATATATACTTGCTTTGATTTTATGTATGGAATCATCTATCTTGTATCCTATCAGTTGTGCATGAGTCCCTGTATCTTGTTATAAATAAGCAATTTGGGACAAAATTTTCACTGCTTGTTTGTGGTTTCCATTTGCAATTTCTGGCAAGCAGTAAATATTCCTCATTACAATTATTCTTAGATTTACGATTATGCTAAAATTATATCTATGTGATTGATCATCCACAACAAACTAAATGAAACCAATTTCACAGAAAGGCATTCAAAATCTTCAAATAGAATCTTCGTGAGCAGTAACGAGCAAACAAACAACGACCTCCTACAGAATCTATGCAAAAAATACCATGATAGAACACATCAACAAAAATACCTCTTGAAATTGGAATGTTAAATAAATCGGAATGTTGTGAGCAGCAACGACCGGCGTGATGGGTGGCTGAGCAACGGCGGCGGCAGGTTGAGAGAGGGAGAGATGCGATCGGCGATGGGTTTGAACGGGATACCTCTAATTTGAGGAGGAAGTATATTTGGGTTATGTGGATTTACTAATTTGCCCTTAATAAACATTGAACCAAACGTTATGGCTCAAGTGCAATTCATTAAACCATTCTCTCTTCTTTTTTTGTACTAAAAACCAAAATAAAACAAATTAATTCTTTTTTTTTTAGAAACAATTGGTACAAAGCTGAGGGTAAATAAATTTTGATTTAGGGGTAATAATTTCTAAAGCCTCAAAACATGGGGATAATATTATATTATTATAAGAAAATTAGCAAATGTATGTCATCAAAATCTAAAAATTACAGCTAAAATATTTATAATGTAGAAATTATATTATAATCAAATTTTCAAAATAGTTAAAAATAATATTTTATTTTTGTTATTGAGTTTTCAAAGATAACTATGTATTTTTAATATATTTTTTCAATAATCTTCTATATTTTGCTACGAAAACATATTTCGTAACTACTTAACTACGGAATTTTTTGTAGCCAAATACCTACGGATTTTGATTTCGTAGCTATTTTGCAAATTCACATTTTTGTAACAAGTTCCATAATAGATTAGCTATAAAATTTTATTTTGTAGCAAATTTTCCTAGCATAATAGCTACGGATCTTAATTTCATAGCTAACTAGCTACGTATTTTTATTTCGTATCTAATTATGTAGCCAACTAGCTACATACATAGATTTTGTAATAAGTTTCATAGAGAACTAGCTACAACCAAAAAACTTGTAGCATTATTTGTAGTAAACTAGCTACGGATTTTAATTATGTAGCAACTATTCAAGATTTAGCTACGGAATGCAATTCCGTAGCCATTTCCGTAGCAAATTAGTTACAACCAACCATTTTGTAACATGATCCGTAGTAAAATAACTATGAATTTAGATTCCGTAACAGCTTTACGTAGCTATTTAAGATTTAGCTACATAATGCAATTCCGTAACCATTTATATAGCAAAATAGCTACGACAAGTCGTTCCGTAGCATATTCTGTAGTAAAATAGCAACGGATTTTGATTCCATAGTAACTTTCCGTAGCTATTTAGGATTTTTCTTGTAGTGAGATTCACAAGAGTAATACATGATTCCAGCCAAAACCTGACCGAATTGATATCATAAAGTTATAAAAGATACAAAAGAAAATCGATATGTGATTACAGGATGAAATTGACCATATATCTATTCTCCAAAAACCCCAAAAAAAAAAAAAAAAAAGCATTTATCCCGTAATATGCATCACTACTGTTACTATCACAATTGTTTATAAAGAAATATTCATTGAATCCTCATCAAAAGGAATCTAGATAAAAAAAAATTATCAAGAAATATTCAAGGTGGATACAAACCAGATGATAGAAATATGGAGAAATTGGGGATGAGAAATTTTCCTTTAGCCTTGTAACAGAGAAACATAGCATGAATGTTCGTCAATGAGAATGGCTTCCAAAAAAAAATTACTGAATCAAAGCGTTGAGGCTAATCAGGGAAAACTAAGGCAAAATAACTCAAACTTCGGAATTGTTGATTGGAGATCAAACGAGAAATATTTTTTACTTGATTCAATCTTCGTCTTCTTCCCATCTATTTGTTTCCTATAACAGAGAGTTAGATGAACACAGAAAGAAGAAAGAGAGGTGCAAGTGATTAGATTAAGAGAAAATCAAGTCATCAATTTCTTTCTGGAAGGTATCCCAACAGGTGTGGCGGTGGAAACAACGTGTCCCTGTTTCGGTGAGAGAGCCTTGCCGTGTCTTTCTTTAAGCCTTGTTCACGCGCTGTACGCGCTTTTAAAAAAGTTGGGCTCTTATATATATTAACGAGATGAGATATGTAACCTCAACCTTATTATTATATAAAAAAAACGTAGCCTCCGTCGTCATCATCATCGTACTCCTGCTGTCCAAAGTTTTCTCCATAGCATATTCCCCATCACTCCGGCATCAACGTATCAAGTAAACTTTCCCTTTCTCCCTTGTTTGTTTTTTTTTCTTCTTCTTTCTTTATATCTTATTGTATGAATTGATGAATTTCATAGATTTTTGTATCTTCTTTCTTTGTATCTTCTTGCATCAACGTACGTATAGCCTATAGGTTTTCTCCATCACTCCTGCATTCCATGTAATCTTTTACTTTGTATAGTCTTAGAGTTATATTAATTTTGCTGCTTTGATTTGGAAGGAACCGATCAATTGCTTTTCTTTGATTTCCTCTTAAACACGCAAACCTTATACACACGTTATGCAGTACACTGTGGTATCCTTTTTTTTAGGTTTCCTACCAGTAGCATAAAACGAATCACCCGCCAAAACAATAGTTTTTAACTCTCAAACTGTAGAAGCAAACATAATACGAACAAACGTATTTTTCTTTTACTGCACACAAGTAAAAGATTTTACTTCCAGTTTTTGTATTATAAAAAATTCATAAGTTCAGGAATTGATTTCATCACGCCAAATTATCATATATTGATGATGGTAGTTATGACAGAGGAACATTGGACCTTATGAACATTTAATGACACAAAGTTCCTAATTACCATAGTTATGCCATTTACTTAAACACGGGAACTAGATGTTACTGTTTGATGTTGAATGATTTGGTTATTCGTTTACATGATTAATTTATTTTTCCCGTACGTTTAGATAGCAACTGATAATCTGATAGCATTTGCGTTCTGTGATCACGACGCGATCAGTCCACTTAGGGATTAACATCGATAGAGCAATTTACCTATGCGATGAAATTAGGTTTTATTTTGAAACGTAATCCATGAATTTAGGTTTTGATGTTATTTCAATAGTTTTCGAGTTCCTCTAGTATCTTTTTTTGTTCGTTAAGTTATGGATTTGTTTACGTTTCCATTGCTTTCTCTTGGTTGTTTGTATTCATGATTTAACGCCTGAATTTGAATTTGGGTGTAGATGGCTACATCCAAGACTCTGATCTGCACCATCCACTCGTGTCGCATACTCAGCCTTATCAACAGGCTTTTCAGAATCAAGCCAGTTGTCGTAGTGTACAGATGCGATGGAGCCAGAAAAACTCAACAACATTACACGAGGTACGCCAAGCAGATCTTGGATAACCCGAGGTGGGAGGACACATGTTCATTTGAGTACAATTTGCCCATAGAAGCTGGGGAATATTTGTTGTTTGAGCTGGAAGATATGTTGGGCAATGTCTATGGCCATGGGAGGATTGACATAGTGGACCCTCTACCTCATACCACTACGATTCAACTCCTCAACTCCAAAGGAAAACTAGTAGGGAATTTGAGGATCAGTCCAAGATTGGAGGAACACAGAAATCCTATTCCTGTGCAATCTAGGACTAGCAGCCCTCAACCAAAGTCAGGAGGGAATGACAACAAGGCTTTCAAAACTCCCTTAGTGGATACAGATTTGTGGCTCATGGTAGATGTTGTTGATTAGCAGTTAGGATTTGGCGGCTTCAATAGAAAGAGAGGAGGCATAATCATGAACTAGAAATTTTGTGTTTTTCTTCATCTAAATCTAAATAATAAATGTGATGTGGTTGAAACTATTTTTCTTTCATTTCCGGTTTCCTTTGATATGTTTTGTTTCTACACTGGAACCATATTTCTTTCTGTTAAGTAGCAAGTACCAATTGTTTTCTATTATATTTGTTGTTGACTTGAGTGCTCCCTTGTTATGATTTTTTTTTCTCGAAAAAACGTTTCATTGATTTAGTTTCAAAAAACTTCCAAGAAAATATAAAAATTTCCTATCTTCCTCTGCTATGAAAATCCTACCTGATATCACACTAAATTTCCTGTTTTTTTATATACAATCTATATTCACAACCACTACATCCGTGTTCGGTTTTCTGTTAACCTGATCTTTTTTTTTTCCAAGTGCTCATCACTAACAATCCAACATTGATGAAACCCAAAACAAAAAAGCTATGTTTTACTCGTTTAACGCCTTTGAATTAGTTAGATCCAAATTTTGCGGCACCTTAGACACTTCAACGTTTGAATATTGAAATATGTATATTTGAATACAAATATGAGCTTGCTTATAATATATGCGTTTTTGTGTTATTTTTATTTGGATTATTTTTCTTGTGAGTATAGAGTTAAAACCTTATTCTTGTGTTGCTAACATTAGACCTTCATCGGAGTATGTTTCTACTATTTTATATTTATTTATTTATATATTAAATCTTTCTCAAAACAACCTGTTTGGGTCGCTTCCAATAGAGGTTGGTGAACTAAAGTTGTTGAGTTATCTAGATTTATTTGATAATAATTTGTCAGGTGAAATTCCTAGTAGCATTGGTGGTTGCACTAGCCTTGTATTCTTATCCCTCAAAGGCAACTTATTTAAAGGCACCGTACCATCTTCATTAATCTCCATGAGAGGAATTTCAACACTCGATCTCTCTCATAATAATTTGTCAGGCCAAATTCCTCAATTTCTTGGAACGGTTGATCTTATTAGAATATGTAAACCTGTCTTTTAATGGTTTTGAGGGTGAAGTACCGATGATTCAGTGTTTGCCAATGCAAGTGCATTCTCTGTTTTGGGAAACAATAGGCTTTGTGGTGGCTTGGCTAAACTTGGGTTACCCAACTGCAAGGAGACACGGAAACATGAGAAAAGGGTTCCTATCTTCATAATAGTCATTCTGATTGCATCCACACTTTTTACTGTATTGTGTTTAGTGTATGCTTGGTGTAAGAAAAAAAAAAGGCCAACCTTCTCGAGGGACGAACGATTCTTGAAAGTATCATATAGTCAACTTCTCAAGGCTACCAATGGATTCTCCAAAGACAATTTGATTGGTGAGGGTGGGTTCAGCTCTGTTTATAAAGGAGTCCTTGATCAGGATGATACATTGTTGCGGTCAAAGTTCTACATCTTTAAAACCGAGATGCTCACAAAAGCTTTACAGCAGAGTGTGAAGCATGGCAGAGTGTTCAACACCGGAATCTGTTGAAGATAATAACTTCATGTTCAAGTCTTGACGTCCAAGGCAATGACTTTAAAGCTTTGGTATACGAGTTCATGCCTAATGGAAGTTTACGTGATTGGTTGCATTCAAGTGCAAGTAAATCCAAACTCAACCTTCTTCAAAGACTAAATATTATCATCGATGTTGCATCTGTACTTGATTATCTCCACAATCACTGCTTATCGATCATCATTCACTGTGACCTGAAGCCAAGCAACATTCTGTTGGATGATGATATGGTGGCCCATGTGGGAGACTTTGGTTTAGCTCGATTTCTTGGAACAAATTCAAACAAAAAAGGTATAAGTGGCATTAGAGGAACAATTGAGTATGCACCTCCAGGTAAAGTTCATGTTATGCTAGATGCTTATACTTATTTATGGTGATACATTTTTTCTAAAGTGATTGGTTATAAGTTGCAGAGTATGGCATTGGGAGTGAGATGACAAGTAGTGGAGATGTCTACAATTTCAGAATACTATTGTTGGAGGTGATGACAGGGAAAACGCCGACAGATGGCATCTTTAACAAAGGTCTTACCCTTCATAAGTTTGCAGACGTGGCCTTGTCGGCCTATGTAACCGATGTTATTGATGATGATGATCTTCTTAAGTTTCTTCAAGAGGATGTTATTGCTAGGAAATATACGTTAGCAATGCAAAGAAAATAGAGGAATGCTTGTCTTCAACTGTTAAACTTGGAGTATCATGCTCCATGGAGTCCCATAAGTTGCAACATATTATGAATATGCTTCAGTAAATTTGAGGTGCCATGTTAGTCAATATTTTGGTTGTTAATCATTAAATATGGATGTATTTAATTTGAGTATTTGATGAATCTTGGATTTTGATGGGTATCAAATGTAAAATAATTAGAATTAATTTATAAAATACGGCAATTGTTTCTAAGGAAAAGTCAACGGTTTGAGGTACATGTAAAGAAATGAAATTGTGGGACAAACAGCAAATGTTGAAACTTTGAAAAATATATAAAAACCCATTTATTGGTTTAATACTTTTCACCGACAAGCCCAATGCTCTCATTTGATCATATTCAATTTTACACCATTCTCTCAATTGTGTCTTAGGAACTAGGGATGAGAATTTGGCCAGAAACCCGAACCGAACCGAAAACCGAACCGAATCGAATTAGACCCGAATAAGCAATTCGATTCGGTTTTCGGGTATCTATATAAGGCTTATTCGGTTTTCGGGTTATTCGGTCCGGGTTACCCGAATAAGGGCTTATTCGGTCCAAAAGGACCGAACCGAATATGAAAAGTCACATTTTTTTCCTAACACAATTGCTTATTCGGTCTTCTTTTCTATCGATCGTTACCCAACAAAACCCACGTAATACACCAAAAAAAATCAACGAAATCGAATTCAATCATCCGTATTACACCAAATCGACAGTAGTGTATTACACCAAATCGACGAGTCGACGATATTACTCTTTGATCGATTGAGGTTTTTCTCATCCTTGCGACATTACTCTTTGATCGACAGTTGCGGCTGCTGCCCTTGCGACTTGCGATAACCTGGAATCATTGATCGATCATCACTAGTTCAAAGTTTAAACTTCATAGTACATTCACGGTAAGAAAAAAAAAAGTCGGCCCTTGCATCTGGAAAAAATAATCGTCTCCTCATCCTTGTTTTCTAGTTTCTAGTGTGATCAAACTCCATTCAAATCATGGAAAATTGGGTTCCAAATCAAGAAACTCAAGTAAGTATTTGTATCTTAATCTACCACTCAATCTTTCAATGTGTTATTATGTATGTTACTCATTAAAATTGAATGTGTTAATCTACTACTCAATTTTTTAATTTGTTTCTTTAAAAGATTTGTTATGAAATCATAAGCTACAAAACTCATACAAAATACAATATTTATAATCACATTCAAAATGTTATTCGGGTTATTCGGCTTCTTAATCATCTTGTACATATTAATTGGGTTATTCGGGCCGGAACCGAACCGAACCAAATAATACCCGAACCGAACCGAACCCGTATTGCTTATTTGGTTCGGTTTTCGGTTCATACAATTACCCTTATTCGGTTTTCGGTTTATTCGGGTTCGGTTCGGTTCCGACCCGAATAACATCCCTATTAGGAACTTTCTAAACAATAAACCTTAATTCATGAATCATGTTCATCAACATCTGTGCATATAAAAAAGCCTTGTACATTTAGACAGAATGATAAACAAGTTACAAGCAGCTGATGAAGTAAATAGTCATATAATTTGAGATACATTTTTTATACAATGAGATCATGCATTCTAGAAATTTGTAAACGAGGAACCCTAAAAACACCTAGACGCAAAGTGATTACCGTTTGTAGTAAAACTGAGTGGATTTGAAAAGTTCCCTTTTGCAAAAATGAGTAGTTTGAAGGAAACAACTCATTCTTCCTCTGTCTCTGCATATGATATCAAATCATCAAACAAAACTAAGCAAATGGTAGTTGACAGTCTTAGGTGGTGTTCCATTTTTAGTTAATGGACTTAATGCACATAGAACTTAATCTGGTAAGCTATATATGGGTACATTGAATGTTAATGTACATAGAACTGTACAGGAAAAAGAGGAGAATATTTAGAAATTTGGTTACCATGTATTGCATCCATGTTGTTTTCCTTGAAAACACCAAGGGGTGAACCATGAACAGACAGAAGCATCTCACCCTGTTTTGGAAGCCTTAAAGTTTTAGGTGTCATACCAACAGACAACCTTTGACTTGTCACCTGCAACCATAACAGCTCCAAATATAAATATATATAAAAATTATAATCCATATAATAATGATACATTAAAAGCAATATATTATATACCCCAGGAGTTTGCATAGATTCTTCAAAGCCAAGAATATGAGTTTCTGATGGCTCCTCTAGAACCTAAAACATGAACCAAATAAGAAAAACACCCAATAACATAAAAGTAATGAGAAAACCTTTCTCATATCAAAATGCATAAACAACAACATACAAAATCCTTGATTTGAAGATTATCAGTGCCAATGAAGCTCATTTTCCCTGCCACCAAGATAAACAAAACCATTGATTCAACTGTGTGTAAAATGTAAATAAAGCCATAAATGCAAAATGAAAACTCAAACTCTTATTGCATACATACACAGCTTACCATTTTTACTTAAAAACTCAGAGCCACCAACAGATGGCATTGCAGTAGAGCAATCAGGATAAGCCATGGACATATGTTGTAAAAATGAAGTGATCATGTTTCCTCCATCACCTGTGTTCATGGACAAATCATCACCTTTATCTTTCCATTTAACTTCAATTGGTCCATCTTTCTCAGTTCTTGACACAGTTAAGTTTGGGAGATTTCCCTCAAAATATTGAAGTAATGGAGTCTGAAGTTGTTCCTCTCTTATATTGGATTTCATCAACCGCAAAGCAGTAAGTAACCTCTCAATCTCCACATCCCTAATCGTCCTGATTGCAGCACGTTGAGGTTCAACTGATAAGACCACGAAGCAATACTTCCCTTAAACTAATGAAATGTTGAATTAAATTATAGTATTTTTCTTCTTAAGAGTAGCATAACAAAATCTACAAGTAGCAGGTTTGTTTGCATCTAAAACAAAAGGTCATTGAGAAGGAAATGCTGGTATTGCTAACAAGAAACAGACCATCACTCCAAGAATCCAGACCAAAACTTGAAGTTAACAACAAAAATGGCATGATATAACTTTGACATGAATAATGTAAGTAGTTAATACAATAATGGATTATTGGCTAATGCCGTGTCCTAAAAATACTCCAAGCTACTGACTTTATTGATTCCAGTACAAGACAGATAGCTACATATCAAGTTCATATGTTAAAGATTACAAATTTTGACTCCAAAAAGTCAAAATACAGTATCTAATTTTCAAACAGCCACTGGTGCTCGATACTTAGAGTGTCTGCTGTAAGAAAGATCGACAAAATGATACTGTTGGCAATCTAATCTAAGATTCTAAGCCATCCAGAACAAGTTTGACTTTGACCAAACATGAACAAGAAATTTCCTTGGTAGAAATAGAATCGGACCACCAAATCATTAAAAGATAACAAAGCATATACCTTCTTGGTCAATAGAAGCATTTTCTTGCAGAAGCCGATTTGCATCAATGTCGCACACAGTATTATTCACATGAGATAAATCAGGCTGTTTTGCCTTTTTCGCCTTCCGTTTAGGCATCACAAATGCAGAAAATTTGCTCAAAATACAACTTAATTGAACTTCAACACCGGAATTATAACACAGTGCACCTCTGTGCCAGAAATTGAACATCAGTAACACAGAATTGAGATTGAAAGGAAAAAAAAAATTAGAAGAATAAAAACAAAAGATAAGACAGGACACTTACCTAGGGCTCTAAAGATTCATTAAGAACATAGGAAGTAGTTGAGCGCCAATAATCTGGGGTTCTACAGGGGATTGGTTTTTGAATTCTGCAAGATTATTTGATCCATCAATATGTATTTTAGAAAATAGGAAATGATCAATATAGCTTTTTGGTCCATCACAATCCACATTCATGAGCGAACCTACATTCAAAGAAGTTCATTTGGTTCCAGATGTGGGGGACATTGATCTACAGGAGAAGAGTATTCAAGGTATAAAGCAATATATATAACTTGAAAAAGAGCAGAGAGAATAACTGGAAGAGTGATATAAATGATGATATTGCCTATCACAATCCACAATCAGATATAGAAGCTCACATTTAGTTGCATTTGATACTTCTTCCTTATAAGTAATGTCCACCGCTCAAATTTAGTTAACAACATCCCTGTAACAACCCACATTGAAACGAAACTCAAACTAACCGAAACAAACAAAGCAAATCGATGAACCCAGCTGATCAAACACGCAAACAGCTAGCAATTAAATATTAACACACAGTAACACAACCACAGTGGAACGAGAGAATACCTAAAACATGGAAGCCAAAGTGTAAAACTGATCTGAACAAAATCGGACTCTAACCGGGTTTCTTGTGCGTGAGTGACGGATGGAGTTCAGATGCACGGAGGAGCAAAAGGTCGCCGCCCGCCTGCAGCTGTCCGCCGGAGTGGAAAGAGAAAGAGATGGTGCGACTGTGAGCAGAGAGAGACGAATTAGGGAGCGGATGCGACTGTGAAAGATCGGCGCCAGATGTATGGCCACGTCTTCGTATTTGACTGAGAGAGATAGAGTTACCGGTGACGATGGAGGAAATATGTGTGTATCTTGGACTCGATTGAAATTTTGAAATGTTGAATGAGAATCGCGCCTGATACCCCCTTTTCAGCAAACCCTAGTTTCGATTTAGAAAGGGAAAATGACTGACCAATTTTATTTTTGTTCATTTGATATTTTTTCAATTACATTATCTATAAATTTATGTAAGAAAATACTCCTAGTCTCAAAATTATTGTCCACGTTTGACTTTTGAAGTCTTTCTATGTCAACTTTGACCATAAATAATTTTATTTGTGTTATATAATTTTTGATGAAACTTATAACAATGAAAATACATTTAAAAAACATTCAATTCATATATTTTGCATAAAAAATTATATAACAAAAAATAAATTATTTAAGGTCAAAGTTAAACAAAAAGACTTAAAAAATCAAACGTGGACAATAATTTTAGGACGTAGAGAGTATATATATATATATATATATATATATATATATATATATATATATATATATATATATATATACACACAGAGAGAGAGAGAGAGTTACATTCATGTGAGACGGCCTAATTTTGTGAGACCGTGAAACGCAATCCTAGCCACTCATTTATTAGATAAAAAAACATTTTTAAAATGCAGAAATCTTTGAAAATTTTGGAAAAAAAATTTCAAATATTATTTTCGGAATTTATATTTTCCAAAAAAAAAATTAAAAAAAAAATATATTTTTTTATATATTCTAATAGAATATTAGAATACTAGTTTATAACCCGTGAGAACCACGGTTATAAAATTAATTAAACTTTCATAGTAAAAACTTAAAATAATTAATCAATTATTTCAAATAAATTGTTTTAAATAAATTATTAATTAAGAGATATTTTTTTAGTTATATAAAATTATAGTCGTTAATTTAAATAAATACATGAAATTATATCACCTTCAAATATATATTAATTTTATTTTATTTTTTATTCTAATGTTATTATTAATGTGATTAGAGTGTGAAATTTGAATTTGAAATTTGAAATTAAGAATCAATTATCAATTATTAATTTAATATAATTAAAGTGGAAAATTTAAAATTTAAAATGGATAAATAATAGGTTGACATGTGGTATATAATATTAATGAGGATTTCTAATATTGTGACACTTGTCAATAGAAGAATAAATTTATTCATTTATTAAAATAAGAAGATTCTACATATCTGACAAATCTAGTACAATACTCTAACATTCTAAAAATCACATTAGAATATTTACAGTGTAATATTCTATTACAATATTTCACGTATTTTTCAAAAAAAAAAGGTAATTTTTTATATTTTTTTAATTTTTTTAGGTAATTAAAGTTCCGAAAATAATAATTAAAAAAAGAATTTTTGGATTTTTCCTTTTATTTTGCATTTTAAAATTATTTTTAAATTTGGTCTCACGGTCTCACAAAATTAGCATGGTCTCAAATGACTCTGAACTTATATATATATATATATATATATATATATATATATATAATATATATATATATATATATATAGGGGTGAGATCCGTTGAGAACTCATAGTTTCCCGAAAACCCGAGAACTAAAGGTGGAGCGTTAGATCAAAGTTAACTCATTAAGGGTCTCATCGTCATCTTACCAATCTCATTTAATGTTTATTTTTTTGTGTTTTTGAAATATTAATAAAAATGTCTAAAATTTAACATAATAAATCAAATTTTCAGATTTTTTTTTAAATATTAGTTTTCGGTTTTCTTTAAAAATGTAGGTTTTTGAATTTTTTTTAGAAAACATGGTTTTTTTAAAAAATGAAAAAAAATACTTTTTTTTAAATATGCAATTTAAAAAAAAACAGTAAATATTTAAAAATCTATAAACTTTTAAATAAAAAACTGGAATATTTAAAAAAAAAATTATAATTTTTTTAACCAAAAAGTTGACGTTTTAGGTGCATATATGCATATTTTTTCAAGTGTATATATTCATATTTTTATACTATAATATTCGTAAGTAGATCATAAAAAAAGTTATTTTTATTTACTAATCTATAAACACAACACTACAATATTTTGTTTGATACAAAATAAAATATAAAAAACCAAAAATGTTACAAAATTTCAAAGAGTTTTCATGTTTTCGTGTCAAAATCTCCATATTTTCTTCAATTGATCACTTTTCATATCTTCAATATTTTAGACAAATACTTCCAAATCTATAAGAAAATTTTAAAAATTTTGATTAATGCAAGAACACTCGTAAAAATGCATATGTGTATATCATGCAAGATTCACATGTGATTATATAATGTGATATTCACATGTGATTGTATCTTTTAAGATTCAAGTGTGAAATTCACTATAAAATAAAAAAAATAATTAACGAAGAACACTCACACAAAATGCATGTTTCCATATAGACTCTATTTATATGTGATTCACTTGTAATTTACATGTGAATCACATGTAATTCATATGTTATTCACTTGTGATGCAATTGTGAATCACATGTAATTCATTTGTAATTTACATGTGAATCACATGTAATTCATATGTGATTCACTTGTGATTTACATGTGAATCGCATAATTCATATGTGATTTACGTATGAATCACATGTAATTCATTTGTAATTTACATGTGAATCACATGTAATTTATTTGTAATTTACATGTGATTCAAATGTAATTCATATGTGATTCACTTGTGATTTACATGTGATTTACTTGTGATTTACATGTGAATCACATGTAATTCATTTGTAATTTACATGTGAATCACATGTAATTCATATGTAATTTACATGTGAATCATATATGATTCATATGTGATTCACATATAAATTCATTTGCATCAAATTTTATTTTCAACAAATCATGACACCAAAACTTAGTCATCAATTTTAAAACTAAGAAAATGGATTTCTTAATGTAATAAAATTGCACCTTAGAAATTAATTTCAGGGAAACTGTGAATATATTTATTCAAGAATCATATTTTGTAACTATGTTCTAAGTTAGAATAGCAAAATGAATAATAAAATAAAATGTATACAGTGTAGACATAAACTTTAAACTTGCCCAAACAAAACAACAAAAAGTTGCTATTGTACACTAAAAACAATTTTTAAACAATGTCATAATTAATCATTTACAATAGTTTTGATATTTATAATATATATTTTCTTGATGATTTATCAAAACTTCTTGAATAATTCCAATCAATATGATGAAAAAAGAATGTTTCTAAATTATGGTGAATACTAATTTCTAGAAGAGAACACATCTCTTTCATTCAACAAACTTTTCCTACTTTCTAGAAGATAACACATCTCTTTCATTCAACAAACTTTCCCTACTTTCCAATATCACATTGAAATTGATCACTAATTGATTCCATGAATTCTTTAGGTTATGTAGGAAATAGAAACCTAATTATTTTCGGTTTATGCGAAATCAATTTAATTGAAGCATATTATTCTTCAAGCGTAAGTTTACCAGAAATCAATTTTTGCTTGTAGTCGGTTCATTTCATATGCATAATCAATTTAAGTTTAATAAGTGAAAATAAATATAAAACCTAAATTTTCGTGAACAGATAACAACAACAGAAAATCAATTCAAATCCAACACAATTGTTAATGAAAGAGAAGAAGAAACAAACTGATCGGAATCGTTTCCTCAAGAACATGAATTGCATATCGATAGAAATTGTTGAAAACTAACGACGATCCAACAGTTGGATTGACCAAACCGATAATCAAATTCAACGACTCACAATCACTAACAAAAATAGATCTACATCTAACATCAAAGAGAAGAAGGTGAATAGATTTACGGATGTTATTAGTTGTATGGATCGGTAACTTCACTGTTGTCGTTTTCTGAAAGGGGCTGCTTCGAGGAGATTTGCGCCTCCATGTTCGTGGTTAAATCATGGAGGAAATAGATGGAAATCAACGAGGTGTGATCGTTGTGGAGACCGACGATGATCTGGAAGGCAGAGGGCACCGATATGGAAGGCGGAAGGATCCGATCTAGAAACAATCGCTGATGAAGCTTTGAAAGAAAGAGAGACGTTGAGTGAGACAATCGATGACTTTGGGAGAAAAAGAATCGATTGGATTTTGGGGGAATGATCTAATTTTCAGATTTATTTTTTTAGTTATTTCATATCGATAATACCCTTATGTTTATGTTTAGAGAAACCTAATATGCCACTAAAGATAGTCATATTTACAAATATGCCATTGATCATCTAAGCCATCCAAATAATTAATCCAACGCTCCACTTTTAGTTCTCGGGTTCTCGGGAAACTATGAGTTCTCAAATGATCCTTGCTCTCTCTCTCTCTCTCTATATATATATATATATATATATATATATATATATATATATATATATATATATATATATATGTGTGTGTGTGTGTGTGTGTGTGTGGTTTGGGGAATATGTGGCTGTTATGTACTTAACATTAGGTATAAAACCATCAAAAACTACATAATTTTAAAAAAATTCAATCAAATATCTCTACCATATTTCTTGTATCCTCTATTAGAGCTTATATTAGGCTTTGTATATATTTTTATGGAGTTTTATAAGTTTAATTTTGCACCACAAGTCGTGTATAAGCAAATTTTATCAACTAGATGTAGTCCGGTATATTGAAATTTATTATAGAAAACTATAGTGAAAGATTGAAATTGTTTATTAAAAACCCGATAAACGTCTTCCCATAATCCATAAAAAAAAAACAATGCAAGTATACATAAGGTAGGTGTTGGAGGAAGTTATGAAGCTTCTACTAGATATCTAATAAAAAACACATTCGAAATACAAAGATGTTGGTATTGAATTACAAAATAAAAAATAATATAAGTTCAAAAGCAATAGGAAGAAGGTAACAGTGAAAGAAAATTGTGTTTTTTAATCAAAATGAAGTTAATTTAGATGGTTCTATACCTAGGGGTGTTTGGCTTGTGTTTTTGAGAGGCAAAAGTCTTTTTTGGAAAAGTTACAAAAAGTCAGATTTTCTTAACTTTTCCAAAAAGTCAGTTTTCCTTGTATCCAAAATCCAAAAGTAGCTTTTAAAATGTTTTTACCAAACATCTTTTACCTTTTATCTTTTCCAAAAAGGACTTTTGCCTCTCAAAAAGACAAGCC